TATGACAAATGGTGTTTGGACTGTCAATTTTCTGAATGCTTGGTATGAAGAATGTTTAAAATTCCATTATTGTCTTAATGTTATTTGATTTTACTCAATTTACATACTAATAATAATTAACTAAATGCCTTTTGAAAATTATATAGCCCTGTCAATTTTTAAGACATTAAAGTTAACACAACAATCTATAGAAATACACTTACTACTTTTAACAGATCAATTACAGAATGTCAAAATAATTTTTATTTAAAATAAGACTATCATAGATAGGTTCTCTTCAATTAGTTTTTAATGAATACCTGGAAAGTTTTAGTTCTCTAAGTATACAGATTAAAGATACATATCACAATTTGTAAGTTACTAATGTGTGTGTATGTAAATGTAAGTACCATTAGCCAAATCCATTAACCAAAAAGCTACAATTCAAATTGCTCCCCCCAAAAAGTTCTTTGCACATAATGCCTCAAGTCTAAATTCCCATACAATGCACAAATGACTGAAGACATATAACGTTACTGTAAAGCCAAGGAGCATATGAAATTTGAGCACATTTCCCTTCTGGAACCTCAGTCCCATCATGATGGTATCTACATCCACATCACCTACGTGTATAACCCAATACTCGACTCTCAGAGGCCAGAGAGATGGCTCAGTAGTGAAGAGCACTTGCTGCTCCTGTAGGGGATCCAACATCAGTCCCCAGCACCCACAGGAAAGTTCACAGCTATCTTATCTCCAGTGCCAGGGGATGTGTCACCCTCTGCTGACCTCCATGAGCACCAGGCACACATGTGGTATTCACAAAGACAAGCAAGCAAATATGCATACACATGAGATAAAAATCTAATTTTCTTATCTTAAATCTGAAACATACCTGTTCTCAAGCATTTCAAGTAAGAGATCCTCCTAACATAAACACGGCATGCCAATAAATACACCTTATACTAGCACACGCATCCAACTCTATAGCTAGGCCCCTGTCTGATGCTATAGACAGAAGTAAGTTTAATTTATTTGCATCTAAAAGTGGTTAACACTCCAATAATTTATGTTTTACAATATAGACTCACACAGACCCTAACTTGATGGTATGGATTCTACGGAAAGTAGAATCCAAATTGTGTCTCCCTTCCATTCTCGAGCCCTACATGTTCAACAGAATCACTGATTTTTCTAAGTAAACATATGAAAAACTCCAAAAATCTTAAAATACAGTCAACATTGCTGAGGAAGGATTTAAGTAGTTTCCACACTAATACACATTTAATTTGACTATATTCTAATATTTGGAACTAGCTACATCTTTATAGAAAATATATCTAATAAATATTTCTGAACTACTGATTATATTACACAGTCATAAACATGCAATGGTCAATTAATTAGAAAATTCAACTATTTAGGATTAAGAGTCAACTAGGATTGACAGTTTATAATGTACAATGTAATAAAAGCTAGCATGCAGGAGCTACCACACCCATGTACTTACTCTAAGTGCTTTAGTTTATTCTTTCATTTAATATCCTAAGAACCCTATTAATAAGATGATATAAGTACACTACCAGTGAGTGATTCACTTTTAGTAAGTGGCAGTCTTCATTCAGAATCAGACTGACTTTTTAGTGATTAAACAGTACACTGCAGGAAAAGAGAAAAAATGAGAGACACAATGTCTTAAATCATTAAACTGTCTAACCTCAAGAAGACTAACTCAAGTGATTTTGAAGTTAATTTTAAAGTCAGGACTTTTAAAGTAAATCTATCTACTTGCTGAGAATATGCAACTCCCTGGATTTCATCCAGACAAATGTTCACACCTGTAAACATATACCCATATACACAGACAACAGAACAACGAAGTGAATTTTTCCCTCATTTATGTCTTTTAACCTAATGAGTTGCATTCTCCTATCCCATGAAACTCACAGGATGTCATACACATTTCTACAGAAACTCCAAACTGTCCTGGAATCATCTACTTCCTTTCTGTCTATCAGCACACTGCAAGCATGTTGCGGGCAAGACACTGCCAAGTGTGTTCCCAAGTGTTTATAAAGTACCTAAAAATAGTCAAACTGTTCTTACAGAATTGCATTATGTGATGGCTTATTTTCTACCATCTTCTAAACATTTATCAGAAGATAAAGTCTTGGTACAAAGGCACAGGCAGTGTGGCCGAATCCCAAAGACAAATGGGGCCCTAGAAGGGTCAAAATTTCTGTCTTCTAATTCTTCAATATTCTCAACCTCTCAGGAAAATCGTAGGAAGAAAAAATGAGACACAACTGGGAATTATCATCAAAAAGGATATGGAATTTCAAAATTAAGTTATGTTTGCTGAGTCAAGTATCATATAAACTTGGTCCCTTCGACCTTCTAACTAGAAATGTCTTGGACTTTAAAAAACTGGCAATTTCTTGACCTCTAAAACTCTCATTCTAAAAACTCAGCTCTCAAATCAGAAATGGGTTTGCATCCTTAAAATCCCAGAATTTAGGAGAGTGAAAGAATTAGATCAGGAGTTTGAGGCCACTCTCAACTACACTGTATGATCCTGGCTCCTCATCCTGGAGAGAAAAAATTTAGTTCTTCAAATTCAAGTAAGATAGTACAGAGTCCCTAAAATAACAGCAACTCTGGTATATATATTCTAAAATACAAGTTCTACCAGTGATGAGGGACATTTTTAACAGTCAAATTAACATGATGACGTCAACCAAACTAGTTAATGCAATAATTTATAAAGAGAAAAACGGGATAAAAACAAGTACAGCACTATGATTAACAACCAGGTAGAGTCATCATCTTAAAGTCTAAAATCTTTCAACTCTAAAACTGAGTGTACACAATCAAAGAGTGAGTATGAGCCAAGTCCTGTTAATACTATGGAATGCTAGTATTACCATCATTCATAGATCAACAGGTTGGGGGGGGGGCACTTACATGAAGAAAATTCTGTTTCCATACTCATTAGCATCCCTAAGTCAAGACAACTGTGCCCTATTCAAAGACTGTTTTCTAAAATAGAGGCCGATGTTTTAAGAGTCATAAGGGCTCATAAATTAGGATATTATAGCACAAATCCAAAAGGCAGCCCTTTAAATGAACGGCACATATTAACATAGCTACTGCCTATGTCTACAAGAGCAAGCAGAGCTGACTAAAAACTCCAATGTACACTTCCTCTAAATCACAGTACACTTCCCTACACTGCTTAGTTTATAGGGTTCTAAGATAAGCTATCATCCTCCCCCACTTGAACACTATACGAGCTCTCCTTCAAACCTATTTCCTTCTCCTATGTAAAAATTAATGTGTGTTCCTGAAACTGATCAACAACTCACTCTAATGCTACGATGAAATTCCCAAATGTAAAGGGGATCGACGTTTACATAGCTTTCAGTCTCCTATTGGATTTGGTCTAGACAAAAAAGCCCTCTAGACAAGTACTCCTTCGGTACTGAACATAAACTAAGTCATGGCAGTAAAATGCTTCTATCACCCCCAGAATGTCCAAGTATCCCGAAGTCATACGCACCACCCACTACCTACAATCCTCCTTAATGGCTTATAAGAACAACATACCAATTCAGTCGAGAATCTCCCAGTAACAGAGGTAACCGGGCTAAGAAGTGTCTCGGAACCAAATATTTGCAGAGTAGGGATCTGCAAACTATGGATTAGATAGCATAGCACTTATCACACTGCTTTCCACATAGATCAGAAACTTGCCTTCCAGCGCTGGAAATGTACTGAAATTCTCAGTCTCTAAGTGGCACTCAATCTCAACATAATTTCGTCTCCCTCAGAGCCAACTACCCTGACTCACCTACCAATTATAGGATTTTCTTTCTTCTGCATTACAGTACAGACATTTGAACGTACCTAAAGAAATTTGCACATATCTCTCCTTTTTAATAAATACTGGTAGAACATCAGCTTTACAAGAACCAGTATCTGAGCAATCTAAGATTTATTCCTCAACCTTTCCCATCAGCAATCCTTAAATGAACAACATCTTGCAGCATTTTGATATTACCCAGACATTTACTCTCCTAAACTGGTGGCTTTTCTTTTCTTTCTTTCCAAATCAGTGATTATCACGTCTGCTTCTCTTGCATGAAAAGTGAATTTATCATTTTTTTCATCCTCTTTAGAAAGTAGGAATCTAAACTAGACTCATATCCAGGGAACAGAACTTACAAAGAAATTAGTAGCTCCTAAGCATGTCGTGAAAAAAGACACACGGGAGAAACCCGGGGCTACTTGTTTCAACAGCCAGGGGACAGCAGACGCAATACGTTTTTCAAAGGTAAATCCTGGGTCCCCGAGAACAAGGTTTTCTAAAATAAGCAGGGGCAGCGTGAAGGACGTCCAACAACTGGAAGGCTGTGTGTGGATAGCATCTGGGCTCAACCCAAAGATCCAAAGGTTGCCAGGGCACAAATGTGTCTGGAAGGGGATGCTGCCGCAGGGTGGGTTTTAAGATGGTGCCTTCTCCCGGAGGCCAGGAGGCGTGGACCCGAAGGCTTCAGGGCTCCAGGCTAGTGTCCGAAGGGTTTCCGGACTCGCGGCTCAAGTTTCAACGGAGAGAAAGGAGGAGGCGGCAACGTGCATCCCGGCATCCTAACCTCTCTCAGCCCACAAGTCCGCGCTCTCCGCTTCATCGGCGCACCAGCTCGGAAGTAACGGTTCCCGGGGCGCGCGGGGCTCCGCGCACCGAGCTCCACCGCTGGCCCCTGGGGCCCAGCGCGAAGATCCGCGCGGCCTCAGGGGCGGGAAGCCAGCGGCCGGAGCCTCGTTCGCTCTCCCTGCCCTGCCCGGGCCTCGCCCGGGGCGCGGCGAAAAGTTTTCCAGGCAAAGTCCGCGGCGGCCGCTCGCGCAGCCAACCGCCCGCTACAACCGCCTCGCCTCGCTTCGCCTGGCCGCCCGGACGAGCGGCCCGCGCCCGCCCGCCCCGCCGCGTCTCCCTCTGCCCCGCGCCCACCCGCTTCACTTACCACAGAGCCGGGAGAAGAGCAGCAGGGGGATGAGCAGCAGGAGCAGCGGCGGCGGCGTCGGGGCCGGCAGCAGCAGCAGCAGCCCGGCCGCGGGAGGAGAAGCCGAGGAAAGTTGTGTTTTGCCGCCTCCAGGACACAACGGGGCCGGGCCCGGGGTCCGCGCCATGCCCGCCCTGCCCCGGCCCACCCGCTCGCCCGCGCCCCGGCGCCTCTGGCTCTGGGTGGCGGCGGCGGCGGCGGCCGCGGCGTGGAAGGGCCAGCGCGCGTGTCCTCAACCCCCGGCTCCTGCGCCGTCGCCGCCCGCCGCCACTCGGCCGAGCGCTCGCGGCTGCCTCGACTCCGCCGTCGCCGACGCCACTGCCGAGGCTGAAGCGGGAGCCGCCCGCCTCCCGCCGCCCGCCGCCGCCGCCACTCCCCTCCCCGCGGTCCCCGCCCGCCGCGAACTCCTGGGAACTCGGAACGCACCACCCCGCCCTGCGGGAGGGGGAGCCGCCGCCGACCCTCACCGCCGGGACGAGCCCGCCCTCCTTCCCCGCCGCCCGGCTGCCCGGACGCCCAGCCGCCCGCCGCCGAGGCCCCTCCCACCGCCCTGCCCTCACGCTCCTCCCCTTTCAAAAAAAAGAAAAAAAAAACTTCATCCACTTGGAAAACCGGGCTTTTCCCGAGGCAGAGCGATCTGGACCAGGGTAGGCGGCCCCGCCCCTCGGCCCCGCCTCGTCTCCCCCCTTCGCAGCGCTGGAGATGGTCTCTCCCACTCCGCCCCTCTCGGGGCCGTGGCGGCCGGGGCACACCGAGGCTCACCCGGGAGGAGGGCTGCGGGACTCCCAGTCCTGGCTCCCTCTTCTCCCGAGTGGTGCGGTTCCCCAGCCGGACCAGGGACGACAGGGGGTGGTGCGGGGAAGGCAGGATTCAGATACCCACTCTCCGGGGACCGGAGCGGGAGGTGCCTGTTTGGGAAGCTGGATGCCTGCCGCCCGCTGGACCAGCCAGCATTCTCCCTCTTCGCCCCGGCACGAGACTGAAGGGAGACACTCCAGTCCTTCCTCCTGCCCGGGGCATCCCGGCTCTCCGCTGTCCCGAGCCTGCGTTAGTCCAGGCATTTAGCCTGCTCCTTTCTCTGGGAGGGCGGTTTGGTGGAAGGGTCAGCAGAACTGGCGGAGGACACTAGGGGCCCCGAAAGGTTTGCTTTCTAGCTCTTGCTTCTCTCGGGCCGCCGGGTTGTCCCCTTTCTGCGCCAGGCGACCGGCAACAGGAGGCCATGGATTTCTCCCTTCCGAAAGCTTCGAGTGCGGTCGTGTTTTTTCTTTGATCGTTTGCATGTTCGCACGTGTCATTTTATTTTCTTGCTTCTTTCTCTTTGAGCTTTTCGCAGAAAAGTGACCTCGGGAAGTATTAAACCTTTACCCTCAAGAGAAGCCTCTTTGAGTCACCATAACCCTCCCTCAAACCCAAATTGTTGTCTGCCTGCCCTCATCTATCCACCACACACACAGAGCCAGAGTGACTTGACCTTGAAGCCCCAGCCACCTTAGCATCCTAGGAGGAAGGGGAAGGATGGAGGGTTTGTGCCCTCTGCGGGGGCAGTGGAAGCGGAGGACACCGTCCCAAGGCTTTACACCATTAATTTTCCTTAGGTCCTGAAACCTCCACCAGATGCGCTCTGATGAGAATAAGAGCAGCCCCCAGAGATGAGCCTGTGGCAGCTCAACGAAAGCTTGCATTGTGCCCAGGAGAACACTGTGCTCAGACTTTGAATTACGGGATCTCTTCACCTCCACACACTGATTTATGATGTTTTACTCACCTCCAAGACCACACAGCATCCTACCCAGTCAGTCTCTCAGTCTCCCTTCCCCTTCCCCGCCCCCCCATCTTCCTCCTCACCTGTTTCCTATGTTGTCTCCCAGCACTGGGGCTACTTCTATTATTCATTATCACCACCCCTTCCCCTTTTTTTCTCCTTCCATCAGCCCAGCCTTCCTGCAATCATTCCTTTCTATCACCTATCCTCAAGGTTCGCTTATGAATAAACCTTACCCTGCATTGCTGGGGAGATCCCCTGATGATGCTCATAATTGACAAAATGTAGCTATTGTGACATTCCTCAGCTGTGCTGACACCACTGTTTCCCTTGAGAACATTTCTTTCCCTATTTTCACATTCCCTAAACCTAATTTCACTGCTAAATTTAGGCAGAGCCCACTGCTGCAACTACTAGCTAATTATCTGTTTAGATAGCACTTTAACACGTTGTTGCGATTCAGTTAAATGTTAAACAACCAAAATTTTAATATTGTTAGCCAATTTCATTTCCCCAGTCTTTCCCTGATGGGTCCAGATTCCAGGAAAAGTAATTTAGCTAACATTTTCAAAGGTGCCAAAGGCTTAATTCGGGGGCTATTGTGCAATCTGAGGCAAAAACCATAGGAAAGTAACAGGTTGAGGATATCTCAAAAGGATGATGTGGAACATCTAAACCATTTCCTCCATATATGGAGACAGTGAAGAGTTGCTTGCTGTGATCATATTCTCTCCCCTAAATTGAAACAAGAACATGAAAGAACAGTACTTATAGGCATGATATGAGTAAAAAGAGCATTGTGCTGGTGTTTTGTGTGAATACATACTTTATGCTCTAATAATAATAATCTATGTTGCTGTGGCATCTCCAGCCGGAGGTGTCAAAGCTCATGTTCATGTCACACGGAAGGTGGCAATTACTATTATCCCGACTTGACAGCTGGAAGAACCTAGGCGCAGAGGTTAAGTGTGCTCTGCAAACCCTGCCAGGCATGTGCCTGTTTTTTCTGCCAGACTGCCTCCCTGCCTTCCAGTGGTCACCACAGAGCCCTTGGGATACTCTTTGAAGTAAAACTGTAATTAAGTGATATGATTTTCTGTCTTCTCCATGGCCAGTCTGAGGTGACATTCTCTTTACCAAGCTCTGTTTTTCCTGATGGAATTATTAATAGGCACACACACACAAAGATGCTACATTTCATAGTAAAACTTCCCCCCCCAGACTAGAATTACTGATTTTTTTAAAAACCTTTCACAAGAGACCATTAATGGGCCTTATAAAAATTTTAGTTGTCTTTTCCAAATAAAATCATATTAAGAAAATGGTTGAAGAAATAATCACAACTAATCCATTAAAGTTTTTGACACCATTGCATATTGAAATATGTATCTGCATGTTAGGAGAATTATCTGAAGAGAAAGTAACCCAATTCTAATGCCAACAGCAGTTTCATTGTTTCACATTAAGTATTGATGGGGTTCAAGCCCACTTTTAGTTTTAAAGACTGCCAAATATCAGAGTTCATTCACTATTAACTTAAAATCAAAGACTGTTATGTAAACAATGAAGTAATTCTGTGCAGTACGGTGGATTTTAAATTGCTTCAGAAGTTTGAGACTGGTAAACTTCCGTGACAAAGTCAGCCATTTGTAGAGCAGGCTGGACAGCATATGCATTAACTAATTGGCTCTACCAGCCGCAAGCTTAGCCCATGTAAACAAGCAAAACTTTTCCTTGATGGAGGAAATGAACAATGGTTAATGGAATGTTTGAATGTTAGTACCATATATGACACTATAGGAGATGTTAGCCACTTGACTTCCAGAATTCTGAAAAAGAATTTTTAAGCTACAAACCCACAAAGGAGTCTACCTTTGAGAAGTCTTCTTTGAGAAGTTTCAACTTCATGTTATAGCAAATGCAATTCTTCTTATTAAAGAAATCGTTATTTTGTTTTCCCCTACTTATTTCCTTTGGGTGTTTGCTCAGATTATTATTGAATTCTTCATGAACCACCTGTGTGAGAACTACCTCCATACCACTCTGTTTACTTAATTTACATTTATTTTCTCAAAACACGTCTATCGTCTTTCCCCCTTAGAGTGGAAGTTTATAAAGATGTACAGGTTCCTTCCTATTTTTTTTCACTACTAATAAGTTCTTAAAAGAGTACCATACAGATCCCAGATTGGATGGTTCGATGATCACTTTAACAACATGGCATAGTATGTTTCTGTGCACGCATTTCTTGCCCCTAACAGCATCACCTTGGTGGTTATACACTATCATTCTTGTCATTGGGATTTGTTTCCAGACTTTCAGTTTTATACTTTAAATATCAGACTTTTCATGACCTTCCAGAGATACCAGCTCTAGCCAAACTATTCCCATTCCTCAGAGGGCCAGTCCTGAGCTCCTCATTTCTCCTCTGGACTTCTGAGTTCTGATAACAACATTCCTCCTTGTTCCCAGAACTCTAAAGGTGATAATAACTTCCTTCCTAGCAGATAAGTACCCATCTTTAGGAGATTTCACACACACACATACACACACACACACATACACACACACCTCTTTTTTTTAATGTAGAGACTCCTTTAAACCCCTGTCCAATATTTTCCTCTATTAATTTATTGCATTTAAATAGTTTCTGCCTTCCTCATTACACCTCAAGTGACTCAGGTTTTCTTGGATTATTTCTTTATATCTGAACTTATAACAGCTGTTTTTCTCTACATAAAACTATTTGCATACTGCAGTGCCAACATTAATCCATCAATAAACCAATAAATGTAAATAAAAGTCACAAATCAAAAGGGTAAAACTGTTTCTACTTTCTTGGCAGTGCACTACATTTTTCAGAGGTGGTCTTGAAAAGCATTGAAATTATGTTGCTACTATGATATACACGTAGGTCTTGGTTCTTTTTTTATTACCCAGATATGTTAAAAATCAAATACACACTTCTCAGCTCAGTGATTTATTTCCTTTATACATCTTGACTGCATTTATGACTCATTATGAAATAATAAATTATTTGGAAAACATTTAGATTTATCAAGCCAACAATAACAGCGAACGTTCATTTCACACATCTGACTACTGGTAAACCATACTTATACTTTGCTACACTTCTGTAGTAACGCTAGCATTCCAAAAAATATAGCTGGAAATGGGATATATTCGAGCAGAAAGAAGAGCTATGCCACAAGATTGATGTGTTAAATAATAAAGTAGGTTTGATTAACAGACATAGTTGAACTAGCCCTAATACTATTGATAGTTTTCACTTAAAGATGCATACTATAAAGAGAACAGAGAGGGAAGGCAAATTTCCACCTTAAAAAGACTGGGAAAGCTTCACAGTAAATATGTTTGTACAGTCTTAAAGCGTGGTCAGGAGTTTGTCACAAAAATGAGAGAAAGAAGCTGGGTGGTGGTGGCTCATGCTTTTTATCCCAGCACTCAGGAGGCAGAGGAAGGTGGATCTCTGTGAGTTCGAGCTT